AAACAACCATCCAGCAATTTAAACAACCAACCAACCAATCAAACAATCAATCACCCAATCAATCAACAAACCAACCAATCAACCTATCAACCAATCATCCAACCAGCCAACCAACCGATCAATCCTCTATTTAACCAACCAATCAACCAACCAGCAAACCAATCATCTATCTAACTAATCAACCAGCCAACCAACCGACCAATCATCTATTTAATCAACCAACCAAGCAACCAACCAACCAGCAAACCAATCATCTATTCAACCAACCAACCATCCAACCAGCAAACCAATCATCTACTTAACCAACCATCCAACCAACCAACCATCCAACCAACCAACCAACCATCCAACCAATCAAACAGCTGACGTAGACGTTTTAAAGTGCGCGATTTACTACCACAGCCTGATCGTCCTGATGTGCGGGCTTCCGGGCACGCTGCTGGCCGTCGCTATTGTCGCTCTTAGCATGAAGTATTTTTCCACCTCTATGTACTGACTGACAACTCCTTTGTTCAAACTCTTATCAAAAAACAGAATTTAAATTATAATTAAATCATCCTAGATTTATTTATTTATTTATATATTTATTCATTTATTTATTTAGATCCGTGTTCCTTTGCGATTAAAATCTGAAATAACAAAATAGGGCTACTCCCTCCAGATTTATTACAACGTATCATTTTTTTATGCCAACTTTTCGAGTCAAAATTAAAATAACTGTAGAAGATGGTTGATGACAATCGAGCGAAATGTCTAGAAGCAAAATGTCTAGAAGCGAAACTTGCGCACTGATGTTCACGATGATTTTTGAAGTTCGTGTCAGGATTGGACATAAATAGCATATTCGAAGGAGCATTGGATTTGGAACGCACAACGGGGTCATGAGCAGTTGCGCAACGGTTGTGTCTCTATGTTGCAAGAGTTGTGTCTAAGTTTCGCGACGGTTGTGTTTCTATGTCGCAAGAGTTGTGTCTAAGTTGCAAGATTTGTGTCTTAGTTGATATATTGATTTATCCCAATTGTGGACATAGGAGTAGTTAACAATGGTCGCAATACTAAGTCATCCAAAGAAACTTTGAAATTGATAAGGACGAAGAATAAATTATGGAAAAAGTTTATTAAACTTAGAGATAAGAAGACGTTAATGGGATATAAAAATCTAAAAAACCAGATTAAAAGAATTGTTATAAACATATAGAAAAAGAAATGATGCGTATGACTATAATCTATATAAATCTTCAGGTCCGGATGTTTTCCAGACTATATTGAAGAAATGCAAGTTTTCAATTTCCGCCTATTTGTCAAATTAATTCAAACAACGGAATCGTAGCCGCAATCCCATCCTTTCCTGGCTCGTTCCCAACGGACCATTCCTTCTAAAGCACGCGCCGTTGATCCTCTATCTCTTCAAGACGCAGTTTGTTATTTCCTAAAAAAAATATTTTTATATCACGTTTCTTGTCATCTAATAAATTAGAGGAATCTTGTCCTGCTGCATTATTTCTATTTTTTTGATAAATGTCATTCGCTAATCTATAATTCTTCATAGTTACCTTTTTAGGACTTTTTTAGACTTTTCGGAATAACTTAACTTTTTGTTCAAAATTTTTTAAATTTAACATTTGAAATAGCGGTTATCGTTTACAAATCCTATTTATTTTATTATCAAATCCCTATATCTGGCGGCTACCTTCGATCGTGCAGATCTTGAAGAGGTCAACTAATTTCTTCAAGGTCATTTCAACCAGCCTTACAACAAGCATCTCCATCAACATCACAACAACAACACATTCATGCACATTCAGACAGGCACTCATTCAAATTGTTGACTGGAGCTAGCGAAAGAAAATATTTTGTTGGAGGAGCCACAAAGTTTTTTGAGTTTTTTTTCTTTGATCAGGAATAAGAATTTGTTTGAGAACTGGCAGATGATCTGCTATATCAGGAGCCAACACTCCTTGCAAACGAGTAGTCTAGTCGATGGATTGTTTAAATAATAAATTTTTGAAACAATTAAAAGATAAATAAAAAAAACAAACATAATTTGTTTATTTGTTTTTATTTTCAAAAGTAAAACAGTAAAATTTTTTTGGTCTAGCTAATATTAAATATCTACATCGTGAATAAAAACCAAATTATATATGAAAGTAAAACACACGACATAAATTTATACATATGTTTGTATGTATGTATGTATGTATGTATGTATGTATGTTAAAACCAAAACATGATGTGTGACACTGAACCGTCAAACATCAAGTAACAAATGGATTAACACTTTGATTTGTCGTTAATTGCACATGTCGGTATGTATGTATGTATGTATGTATGTATGTATGTATGTATGTATGTATGTGTGTATGTTTGTATGTAAGTTTGTATGTATGTATGTGTGAGTGTATGTGTGAGTGTATGTGTGTGTGTGTGTGTGTGTGTGTGTATTACACGCATGTACATTAATTAGCACGAATTGCTGAGAGTGTTTCAATCTTATTAATAG